TACTTGCAGTACCATTGTTGTAGTATTTACATATACATAATTGAGCAAGAGGCACTGAAAAATAAAGCACAACATTATTATGTTGATCTTCATGTAACAATTAAGTTATTCATTGAATAACAGTGTTTTAAAGTTAATAACAATATACTGACTAGTTATATCATTATAATATAGAGATAACAGTGGATCAGTTATACTTGTCTAACTTTATTTATTCTAGTTCTATCTATTAATTGAAACATTAATATTGTAAATTGAAATTATGTTTATCATTTCCTTCAATATACTTTAGAACTGTTCTTATCCATTACAAAATATTTGTAAAAGCTGCATGTAAATTAAAATTATTACTGTTATTTAACTATATAATACACTGTTATTCGACAGTGAATTCAATGTCTCTGATAAGGGATTATAGCTTGAGAGCATGCTGCATCTAGTTTGTGAACATATATAGTAGGTAACAATTTTTAAGATGTAATACATTAGGACTTCTAATAAGGAGTTAAGTTTCCTTAAAATTTATACTTCTGGATAGGCTTACTTCTTCCTACATAATATACAGGAAAGTTGTTTATTGGTTTTTTGAAATTCATATATCCTTAGTTAAATTGAACTAATACTTCACTGATGTTAACAAATCAGTTATGAGATGGTAAGAAGGAGAGTCCACGTCATTATGGATGTAGCCTCGTGTTTCCTGGTCATGCAATTCTGGAAAAAATCTCATGAGTCACCTCTCACAGGTGAAAGCTGGGTCCTATCTCGAATGGTCCGTCTGGCTAATTTAAGAAGGTGCATTTCCTGACAGCTCCCTGCAAGATTGATATCTTTATTATCATTTTTTAAAAAGTGTCTTCTGATTTATATCTGATTTATTTTCATAGGAAATAACACACCTTTTTATTCACGATTTCTCTCCTATTTGACCTAGCAATAAATCAGATAGAGAGATACGAATCAATTTGTCTGCACCAATTAGGTAAATAATATATTACATACGCATTTATGCTCAACAATTTTCTTCTTAAATTTTTCTTTCTAATGATGTATACAGAAGTTTTAACTTTCCTATTTTTTATAATTTTTAAATAATTTTGTCAATTATGAAATCATTATAAAATTATGAAAAAAGAAAGGATGTTTAAATTATTTGAGAAATTTGCTGATAAGTACATTAACTTTGGAATATCTTGTATAATTACCATCGATGTTACAATACAAATTGTTAATAGATAATACAGAAAAATTTATTTTCTACCTTTATGTTTTTTTTGTAAAGCACAATTTGTTTAAAAAATTTAATTACATCGTACACGATTTCACATAAATAGCTTTGACAAGTATGCTACTTCTATATCTTGTTTCCACTGCTTTCATTCTGTTATGGTATTAACTGTATTTTTACTATATATGTGAAATTAACATTCGTGTACATACTAATTGCCTAATTATTAAGAAATAATAATAATAAAACTGTCTGTATAACAAGTATAACGAATATAATTACTGTATATTCTTACTGCACAATATTTATTAATTTCTTATGGATATATTGCTTATTAATTGTTAAATACGTACTGTGTATAAGATAAAAAGAAAATTAAATTTAAATGAAAAAAGTTTTACGTAACAGAGAATTGAATTACATAATAAAAAGTATGTAATTCGAAGCAGGTTTCTTTTGTAAAATCTTTGTTAATGGATTTCTGTCAACTTGTTACCAAAAAGTAATTTAACTTATGCCATCCTTGCAGAATATTTATACGCTTCTCTCCTTAATTAGGTGTACTGTTAGAAGTACTATATTATCATAATATTATACTTGGAACGAATAAAAGAGGGAGGAAGAAAGGCTGATGCATATTCATTGCACGATGTATGTCACTGTAAAAATAATGTGTTCAGCTTACGAGCCTGGAACACTTCTTAAGCAGAATATATGAATGTTTTATAATCCAAATAACATATGTGAAAATAAAAAATTCTACTCACATAAGACGTTTACCTTCTTATATTTAATACTATATATTCCAATTGTGTTATTTCAAGCCAAGCGTTGTCCACCACATTTACCTTGCCACGGCACAATTGTTTTCTCGATGGAAACGTCCTTGCGGCTGATCGTAGGTGTTCAGACGACATTACCAAAGTATATTTTACATACAGCTTTATTATTCTAATTGTACATAGAAGAAATTTAGTACGAGGACGCGAAGGCTACATACCATACAGGCTGCAAATGATGTATAGTGTATAAAAACGATACACATTTCGTATACTATAAATAAATTAATGATAGATTAATAAACAGCAATTGACCGTTTAATACATTTTATTTATAATATAAGAACTTGTTTATAACACAAGTTTAATAAATTTATTACGAGTTTGATGCTTATTAAATTATTTGAAGAATTTATATTTGAGAACAAATTTTTGAAGTTAATATCCTCATATTAATGGTATCAAAGTAATATATAATAGTCTATATCTATATACAAAATTTTATAAGTATTAGATATCAAATGTTATATATTATATCGAAAATTCAAATGCAATTAATTAAAACAAAAATTGAATTTGGTTGTAATTGAATTTTGAGTATGAAAGATAGAAATGTAATATGTTGTTTATTCAATTTCAAAGCAATTTTCTAAAAATGTAATAGAGATAGGCAGGTATTGCTGGTAATCTCTAAAACAATTTTAATTTTGTTTAAATTATTTTATAACTGCAGCTTAATAATCTAGAGATAATTACAGTTCCTATATTACAGTTGAATATAGCTTAATGTGTCTCTATATCTAAGAATTATCGAACAATTAAATTTGAAATTGTTTGAAATTAAAATTGAACAATTTTAGTTATTTTAAGAACTGTAACAATTTTAATCAAGCAGGAAGATAAAATAAAAATAAAAATATTCGAGGACAGACTCTTTACTGCACGTGTATGTGTGCAACATATCATTGATGATAATATTCCAATAGAATGTTCCAATAAAATAACAAAACCATTCTGGAACAAATAATTGTGACAGTAATTTAATACGATAAATATAGTGAAATCATAAATTAAAATATTAAGCGATAATACCAATTCATGCAGTTCCACCTAGAGTCGTAAATCATAAACGTCATATAGAGACATCTCGAATCTCGTAATATACGAAAGACATTGGTGAATCGATATTTAAAACTACCGTACAATATTTCTGCATCATGTAAAAAATGGCAAATTATTTTTAAAACCTGGGTGACTTTGAGTTATTAACTATCGTTGAGTTTCTGGATTGTTCAGTCACTCCCACTTTCACCACACAGTTTAAATCCTTACGATATTCGTTCAAAGATGAAATAAAGTGGGGTTTATTGCATTCGACGATCCTTAAAATGCTTTGTCGATAACATTTACATTGCGTCGATAATATTCGCACTGACCAGCGATTGGACGAGGACTGAAACTGTATCCTGCAATATAGATGTATTTATGAGATCTTAATATTGCAACGATTCAGTGCTCTCGTGGTACTACGGTGAATTATTGGGAATAGACTGTGGAGGGGAGAAAGGATAAAGTGGTGACGCCTGGAGTTCGACTCACGAAACATCTAAGCGCAATGCTTGACTGATTTTTATGACTATTAAATCGCTATGTTGTTTCCATCGACTATATATTAATCTCTTGTACGTTCTAAACTGCGTCACGCCTATTAACAATAGAGGTAACAGTTGTGGGAATTTCCAACTATCTTCCTTTGATTCGTTCGTTTTTTAACTGTATCGAAGACAAGAGTGATAAATAAGCCTGTATGAGTCAGAGAGAAAGGTCTTAGATTCCTTTTCTTAACCGATTCAGATTCGTTAAAATGTAGACATGTTTGTTTAGTCATGTTTTCAGTGCAGAAATTTCAATAATTCGATTATGACATTCTCGTAATTATGAGATATAAAGTATAGAATTTTTATTCTTTCCATCTTTACGACTCATTGCTTGCAGAGATATTACCGATGATGCGTAAGAGATAATACAAACGCTGTTTCCCTCTTTCTCTCACTCTTTTTCTCTGTCGAAGCAGTTCCAGAAAGTGGTGGGGATAAGTGTCTGTGCTGTTAACCAGGGAAGAAATGTATCTATTTCAAATCAATTCTGTTATCGCACAGTTATTGTATACATGTGAATGAACTTTTCTGATTGCAGGCATCGTTCCATCGATACATATGTACCTATGTGTTCATTGTTTCATATGAACCTTGAACAAATATAAATAACCAAAGGGTCATTTACTCCCATGTACAATGCAGATGTACGAAATGGTCGAATACACCTTCGACTCATACAAGGCGTGGTTGTCCGATGTCGATCGTTTTATTGGTGATTCTGTCCTGCCTGCCACGTATTTCCACAATTCTGTGATTTTCCATTTGAAATGTTTAACCTTCATCAGTGAATTACACATATATATCGTAAATTTTCGATATTTCTCTACTCTTATCATGAATTTCTATTTTCTTATTACAAGAATGTTCGTATCGTTGTATTTTATATACTTTATTCGAAATTCCTTGGCATATTGTTGTTACCTTACTTCGATACTAAACCTTGCACTATAGTGTCATAGTATTTATATAATTTTTTAAAACGGTCTCTCGAGCCATGTATTTATTGCGATATTTATTATTTGTTTATTATAATATAGCTTTCCTATTATATTTAAATATATTCACATATTTATATTATATTATATTTACATTATGATAATTATTGAAACTGTACTGTATTATGAATATTCCTGTTTTAGTTAAGTAAATTTATTGTTGAAATCCACGAAATTTAATGATTTACATGGAAACGAAAATAATAATAAATGAGGTAAAGAAAATTGGTAATTTACAAATTAATAATAATAGCTTTATAAGGAAAAAGTAACAGGATTTACTGTTTATAGATTATAAATCATAATATAAAATTTAAGTTACATTATATTCTTGTTTCAGATTCTTTGGACTGCACTCTCTGTTGCTTTGGGTGTTGAATTGAGGGGAGATTTGGTACGTGGTGTACCGTGCATTAAAAAATTTCACCAGCTGTTCTGTCCCACCGCCGGAAATACATACCCAATGTAATATTTGTAACAAGTGTGACAATATTTTATGCAATTAATTTAATATTTACCAATTTTTTACTTAATATTTACCAATTTTTAATTATTGTATTTATCAAACTTCTATTATGAGCCAAAACAGAGGTTTTACCTACTATTATATTATTAATAATAATATTCACTTATTTATATTAGCATCAGCTGTTCTATATTTTGAATATTATCACGAAGAAAACCGATGTTAGGTTCTCTATGTAATCATATTTCTTTAATACAGTATATCTTTAACAATAAAGAATTTTGAGTATAATGTTTGTAGGATAATAAAACTAAGGTAGTAAAATATTTTCAGAGAACGAATAGAACGTTTTATTGACGAAAATAAGGCGTTGATGAAGAGAATGTATGGCGACTTTGAAATGAGTTCAGGATATGGAGCACCAAGGGAACCCGGTCATCGAACACGTAGAAGAAGAAAAAGTAGAGAAGCTACGAAACACGATATTCCCGATGGTGGACCCAGTTTTCGCGACGAATTGGATCCGGAAATCGAGGCTAATGGTGACTCATTCTTTGCTAATGTCAGAAAAACCAGGAATCCCAGACAATCTCCCGGAAAGAATCGGAATGATAGTGGAAGGTACATTCTTTAAAAATTCGATGAATTTATAATTTATAATCCTTTTGTTAAAAATCACTGTCACTTTCAGTTGAACAATACTTCAAATTGTTTACATTCTTCTTCTTTATCGATATATTTTTTTTTATGAGAGTAAATAAAAAAGAGATATTACAAAAAATCTTTTGAGTTTATTGAACTCACAAAAACAAGTAAAAAATGTGCAATCAAGATAGATTTTCGGTCTTTTCCAAATTGATTTGACAATACATTAATATTGTATTGTATTGTAATAATAAGATTATTGATAGGATTAAAAATTATTATAAAAAAACAAATTTTTTAATATTAACACGTTCCAGGATCGATGCATGTGAATCTAAAGTGGAAATTGTAACTCCTTATTGGGCCAGTAACAGTGCTGGCAAAATTCGTGCCATTGTAAACACGCAGCACTTCGAGCAGGCCATTCACCAAGAAGTTTGCTCGTAAGTTTTCATGCATGGTTTTATATAAAGTCAGAACTTTGCTTTAAAAAGTTTCCTTTTTCAGAAAAACCCAGACAAACCGCTGTACCGGAGACTGTGGTTGTGAACAAAAGTACAAATGGCACAGATTACTCGCATACGATCCCGATAACGATTGCAAAGGTATCTTCATGGACTGGTTCCTCTTTCCTTCTTGCTGCGTCTGTAGATGCGATCCAATTGCTAATAAATTTTCCTCACCGAACAATCGAAATTGAAATGAGTTCTCAGAAGCGAGTTTCTTAGGACGTTGTAGTTGAATCTAAAATTCGATTGCAGTCATGAAGAAAACTGGAATGTCGTACATAGATTGAAACTTCCTTTAAATCATGGATCGCTCCTGCGTTTCAATTCGTGTAGCGTTTGTGTGAAAGAAAATTGAATTTTACTGTAAGGAGCTGTTACTTTTTTGATTTAAGCAACTCATAACAACACAATTTCAGTAGAATACATTTTCGCCATTTTTCTTTTAGTTAAGATTCTTATTTTAGCCAATAACGATATATATTCTGTCCCTGAAATCCTCCTTATTTATGAATATATTATTAGAGTTAGTATTGGAGGAATGTCCATTATTCCCTTTTTACTCAAGAATATTTCTTCTTTAGCATGGACTATTAATAATTAAATAAGAAAATAAAATAGTTTAAAAATTAGAATACATATTATTACTAGTATTTTCAATATTTCCTTATAGTGTACGTCAACAAAAAAATACATTATATTATCAGTTATCTGTCATCAAAACGATAATTACCGATTATATGGGATATCGAATATTGTATCAATGATGACCTTTGCTGGATAATTTAATGAAATTATTATTAATTTAATAATCTTTTAATAATTCAATTGTTCTCAATAGCATATAGTATAGCATAAAATATAAGTAATTAATTAATAAGGAAAAGATAGCAAGAAATTTCAAGCATACAACTTCTATGAGTTGAATACGAAAATAAGCAAATCGATATTTATATGCATATTATTTACAGTTTCAATTTAAACTTATAAAGAGTTTTGAAATAAATATATAAAAAATTATTTCTTGATTATCTGAATTATATATATGTGTAGTGAATAATACATTAATAATACCTCGTTCTGGTTTGGCGATATGTTTAACAAACATATGTTTTCTCAATTAAAAGATGTTTATTTCTTTGTATTTTTATCAATGCTGTTTATTTAAATTCTTTGTGAATTTTAAATAAATTTTGTATACTATTATCACAAAACGATTATTATAACATTTATACAATTATGTTTCTTCATATTTCATTGCATTATGAACATTATTAAACAATATAATAATGTTTAGAAAACCATTGTGATAATAATAAACAACATTATCTGATAGAATAGTAATAAGAATAAGGATAAAGGTACCAGAATAAGATAATTATAATAATAAGGATTTTAACTTACGTCATTTTGTTAAGGTGATTATAGAGTTATACGTTTTATATATTAGTAATCAAAACTGTAACGCTCAATATTTTTGTAGATAATATTCATTCGTGTAAACTATTGAATTTAGAATCGCCTTTTTTTTTCGCTGTAATTTATCAAACAAAATTTGCTTGAGAGCGATAATGCTGCTATGACCTTCTCTTGTACGATATTTGACGCCCTTGAATGAATTTAAAGCAGAATTTAAATTTTGGTATACCAAGATACCGAACTCTTTGAATATGAAAAACTGGAAAAACTCGTTTTAAGGAACCTTTGGTATATTTTTTTATACGATAGACGAAATAATTAATTACGAATGAAAAGAGGCTTTTCTGCTGCGTAACCTTCGCATATCGTCCTCCATACTTATCTGTTGACATTATTTTTCTTTCTTTAGTTTGATTGTAAGAAAATATGTAAACACACGTGATCATTTAAGTAGAATGTATATCTGTTGTTTTAATCTACTTGTAACGATTGAGGAAATATTATTTCAATAATTGATATCGTTATCTTTTAAGCAGTTAAATTTGTATTCGTATACCATTGTTTTTTTTCTTTCTCCTGTTTAATAGTATACTTTTAGCATTAATTTAAAATTTAAATTAAATGTTATCGTAACTAAATTTATGCAACCATTTACAATTTTTATACCATGTAAATGCTACTATATAAATGCAATTACATAAAATATAAATATTGAAATGAAAAATATTTATTAAGTAATATACATAAATTTTAGCGAATGAAATTCGGAAACATACGTATCCATATTTCTATAATCAGACAGCTTGAAGTTTGTAAATATAAAAAATAAATTTTAATCATTCTTCAATATTTCGTCGGGCGAATAATTAAATCTGTTTTGTAAAATGTCTAAAGCATAAAGGAAAATCTAATTAATTTTCTCTCTTTTATGTAATAGTTAGGGCAATAGAATATCGATTTTAATCATTTAACAAATATGTAAACAGAAAAAGAGAAAAGAAAAATTATTTACATGATTAAATAAAGCAATAAAAAATAAATGCATTTGATGAGTGATTTTGTATACTGACATACCTGCAAATTTGATCCCACCTTTATTGTTTATTAGTATTGAAAATATAATTAATTACTATAATTTTTATTACTATTACATTAATCGTCATAATAATTTATAATAATAGTACATTTTAATTATTACCTTTGTAGCAACGTAGCTAATATATAATTGTTTTATCCAAAATTGTTAATTAAAATTTAATGAAAATTTAAGAAATTAAGTAAGTACCCCCCTCTTACTAGTTACTTTTGCATAATAGTTGGTACGAACAATATCAGTAAGAAGTGTAAAACCTATTTACTTTTTATGAAAATTGTCGGTATTTTGTATCCTTGCATCTCAATAAAAGCAGAAATTTGACATGTGTGTATTATTAATCATATTTATCAATATAATATCAATTAGCTGATAGAAAATATCTCGTTACTTATTTAGATCAAATAGATAAACGTTAAGAGTTTGTTATAATTTTATATTATTCGATGATAAAAGTTAGTTATTTTATTATTATTGAAAAATTTTATGCTTACCTTGATATCTTGTAAATAAATAAATAATTGAAGACATTGTTTCTATTGCAAATCTTCGATGATACGTAGTTTGTAGGAAGTATTTACATATAAGTCAGGTTAGTTTGCTCTTGCATTACGACATTTCGATATTCACAGGAATGAAAATGTAATTTTCTTTTTATCAAACAACACTTTTATTTTTATAACATAAATCGTTATAATGCACGATTTGCTATTTTTTTCTAAGAGGTTAAAATAAAACACTACTAAAGATATAATTTTTTAGGTGCTTTTTGAAACTATCGAAATATGTGTAAGTTAATGAAGATGCTTCCTAATATATACATAATAAATGTACATGTGAAGATTTGGATGAAAAACAAAATTAAATTATGATGTACAATAGATTCAATGATTTTGTATAGATTACATGAGATGAAACAATTATGAGTTATCCTAATAGTAAGATAAAAAGTCAACAACGAAAACAAATTTATGCACAACGAAAAGCGTGATTTAACCTACAAATCTAATAAGGTAATAGAATTTTAACAAATTATAACAAAATGCTAATTTAAAATTTAATCAAACATTCGCTAGGCGCGCAATGAAAGAAAAATTTTGTATTATCCTATACATTGGACGGATACTGATAAGCTACTTTTTTCACTTGTTTTTTTTTCTTAAATTAATATTGTAATAAAAAAAAAATTACAAATAATGTGAGATTAAGAAATCAAATAACGATAAACCTTAAACCAAAAAATTGCATTAAAACGAAAGAAGAAATTTATCTAAATATGTGCATGTAATATGAAGTGTATTTTAATTAGTTGATCAAAAAATTGTACTAATCGTGACGTGATGAAAACGTAGTTGCAACAGGCTGTAATTTTTCGTAATTACAAAGTAAGTCGAATTAATAATTCTTTATTGTACAATCACGTCATACGTGTTAAATCTATATATATGTATATATATACATTGTACAAAAGTGTCGCATTATTTCGAATAAATTTTTACGAAAATATTGTAGTCTGTTAAACAAACGTTTAGTTTAAGTAAAGTTTTTAGCACAGTGACGCAACTACTGTAATATATGTCTAGGCGTTCTACTTAATACACGACTAACGAGGTATGCCTAACTATAAAACGTTAACGAACTTGTCACGATCACGTAGAACCATTTTAATATGACACCGTTTATTAAGATCGTTAATAAGATCTGAAACTGTCTTACGCTTATAGAGCAGCAACTTTATTAACTACTAATTGATAACTTTCCAAGATAGCAAGAGGAAATGATAAAATAAATTTTATTTCTTTATCACTTTCCTGACGAGTATTTCGTAAACAAATTATTAAAACAAATTTTATTTCTTTATTAATTTACTTACGAAATACTAATCACGTTTGAATTTAGAATTATTTAAAATGGTTTCTTCAAATGATCGTTAGTTGAGAATAAAAATTTTCATTTATATGTTAGAAACTCGTTATATTAAACGGCATTATATTTCGTTTGAAGTGAACGATAACCAATAGTGGCCAACGCGGCGATGAAAAGCGGTTGCGTAATCGATGCACCCATAGCGGAATTGCAGAGGTCAGTGCTACAAATATGACAGGATTCGATTATACTTTGACCTGCAGTTGTCGTAGCGCTGCAAGGACCGTCAACAATATCTGCTTCGTCGACATTCGGGGTTGAACATTGACGAATCACTACTCGCTCTCCATTTTCTGCAAGAAAAGACATTTTTTTATTCGAATTCTAATTATATAATTCATTAGGAGGGTAAGTTTAAAATATTGTATTTAACTATTCAATATTAAATAAAGATGAATAATTTTTAAAATGGAACTAGAAATGTTTAATAATTGTTCCAAACATATATTCAACATGTTCCATTATTGGATGAATTACAAATATACTACAGGCTTTCATGAGATACAGGATCTATCATTTATTTAATTATTACGATATTTATATTCATCGAAAAATGAAAGAGTATTCGTTCATTATACCTGTAAAAATCAAAAAGAAATAACTAAAGTATGTAAATATATGCATATGTAACCTTAAACACAAAACTAACCACAATTCCTTACATATTATAGAAAATCTTTTCTGGATTAAATAAACAATATAAAGGGTTTAGTTCCTGGTTAAATAGAAATATAATCCAAACTCAATAAAATAGATCGTGTGCAGATATGTGTGGATAGCCTTTCTGCATTTTATCGTCTAAATGTCATTCACGTCGCACTGAACTATATTGATAGATCCGTTCTGTGGTAGTATAAAATCACGAAATTATTAACTTCCGATCACAACGTGACATTAAAATAAATTATTGTCAGGTTTGCAATATTTATGTACTAGATTACGTGCAGAATACGCATAAAACAGACATAAATGCATATATGCATAATTTCCGGCTCACGTGTATACAATCGACTACGCTATGCGCGATGCTTCCCTCCGTGTTTATGTTAGAATGAACTATTGTTTGAACGATCTAGTGCAACAGGTTGTGTAACGCGCGTGATTCAAAGTGTACTAAGAATCTCCGGAAGTAATTACAGCATCGCATATTCGAATAAACTTGAATTTCTTTGCAAAATGTCTGAAATTCATTACTACTGTGTTCTAAAATACAATTAAAAGAATTGTTTTTATTTATGAATATTATTATAAAATAACCTAAAATTTTTGGAAAGAGTAGAAGAAACTCTTGTAAATTTCTAGATTTAAGTAATTATTATTTATTATATGAGGTATATTGTGTTTTTTTTTTTTTTTCTTTTTTAGGTAACAAAGAACGTTTGTCTTCAAAATATTGTTATATAACGTTGATTATGTTGGTTATGCGAGTAAACGTACTGCTTTTGCAATACAGGAGCATAATTTTTAGAGTTATGCAAATTTTGTTAATCTCCCGGTTATCATACACGCGGGGACGTCATTAATCCTAGGATTCCAGTCACGTTAATAGGATTAACCTCAATATTCATGATTCCACGACAGCGAGTGATTTTTCTTTGAGGCGGGTGCGGTTTTGACCTTGCTCACATGCAATTATCGCAATTATGGTGTAAGAGCACGTGCCATGACTCATTAGTGCAACAAGGTATATCGTAGCGATCAACTTGGAGACGATGATCATTGGATTGTGCTATTCTCTAATTCCACGCAATGCTTTAATACGTCATCTCATGTGAGAACATCACGCCTAATTGAGTAATATATCACCATGCTTATGACTGTGCAGGAAGTCTTAAAATGTTACTAAATCATATTTGTATAAATATGTGGGTAAAGTAATTTTAATTTGTATTAATATTATATTTAATTTATACTTCTAATTTGAATACAAATTTTCAGGATTTAATTTGACATTCAATTTGACATTTCATACAATTTTGTGGACCATTATGTACGAACTACATTTACAAGTAGATATTAGATTTGGCTATAAAAATTTTCTTTTTTCGTATATGAGGTAATAATTACTGCATGACTATTATATTATAATGAGAATAATGTTAGAAATTTAGAAATTTTATTTTCGTTAGTTCGAATTATTAATAGAATTTATTTTTATATCATTAAGACTCCATTTTGTAGGAAAATTAATTGCTCTGATTGAAATATCTGTTAAATACTGTTTCTTGCAAATGTACAAATTAAACATATAGACAAAATGGAAAAGTAAGTTAAAATTTCAGTACTTAGCTATTATATGGAATTAATTATCTATGATCCTAAATCATCTCACAATGGGAAATGTTCATATACAAATACTATAAAATCAAAGCAGAAGTGTGTATTTATATGTATACAAATGTGAAAGTGCTAAAGGAATTTTAAAATTATAAAAAATATTTAATTTGTTAAGAAGTATGAGATAGATAAATACAACATTCTATTATTCCAAATCTATATGGAGAATTATTTTGTATCTTTCGTGTTATTTATAGTATAGGTAATAATTAAATCATTTACCTCTTTTCACAATTTTTCGGCATATTTGTTTCGACATTTCATAGGATACAGCCTCGCAAGTTTTTGTGTGAAACATCTTCTGATGCTCTGTGATGTTCAGTGGGTCACGACACATGTTGCTGGTGTTAGAAACACAATCCCAACATCTTAAAGCTAGTCCTATCAATTATTATTAATTATTAGTAAATATATTAAATATTGTAATATATATTGTAATATAATATTATTGATATAGTATATTTTATTATAGTATTGTTATAGTATAATACTATAGTATAGTACTTTATAACACTATATTATTGTACTTTTGTACTATAGTATTATATTAGTGCTAACAGGTAATATCGGTACTGTTAGTATAAAACAATAGTAATTTTCATTAAGATAAAGAAAAGTTCTATTATATTTAGATTCATTACTATTTATCTTTTCACAATTATAAATAAATTCGTAGAAAATGATTTCACGCGTGATTCATTAATATTATTACATAACATTTCATTAAATGCTACTTTAGAGTAAAATACTGGGAAACATTCTTTAGGAATATTTTTGAATGCTCCAACGATTACTCATTTCTCTTTGTAGTGTAATAAGTGACGAAATAGGTAAGAACGGAGCTTTAATATAACATGTATTATATCATCGATATTTATGAATGCACGCATGCATTAATCATTTCATTGCCTTATTCTTCATTACATTGTTTTACATTATTTCATGCTTGATAAAATGTAAAACGAAGTAATGTACATGACGTCTTTAAAAATTCTGTAGAAATAACTGTAATGTATAATTATAATGTAAATTAATACGATTTTACTTGTTCTGTTTCATACCGATGCCTTATGCGATTATGCTAACTAACTTAACGTATAATTTTACGTTACTGTAACATCGTAGTAAAAACAAACAATGGACGATATATAAGCAACAACGATAGATTATCTAATACATCTGATAAGACGATAACAATGGGTCATTACGTAACAAGTAAACAAAAACAATAATTAAAGTCGTAAGTAGAACAAATGAAAGAACAGATATGGTAATGTTCGAACGTAATTGTGAATGACCAAATGATGTAACTGTTCTATCACAATAGTTGTGCATATTTCAACTATTGACCAAAAGTAAGTCATTATCACAATGTTATTTAACGTTAATATATCATTTTCATCTCGAAATTATTTTTTTAAATTTACATTAATAAATAAGTGAAATTTCTTTAGTACATTTAATTATTCTAATTGTTTAAAAGAATGAAGTTATTTGTTTTCCATTTATTACTCACTTTATTCTCTTTTCCTTGTTATTCTCTATTTTCTATATTATATATTTTCCTTTTTCCCAATCTACAATTTACATTTACAAATATTTCTAACTTTTCATACAATTTATTAGTCAATTTGTTTCCCTAAAATAACAAACATAAAAGTTCTCCAGTTCACAATCTACTTATACACTTTCTATTCTCTCAAAATTACTATTGTTTTAAGTAACAACATGAATTACATTAAACCATGTTGCAAATTAATTAATTAATCATAGTATTATTAATTATTAATTAATTATCTAATATAAGATAGTAATAAATATATTTTTTCCAGATTCCGCTAATCAACTCACCTGATTGCGCGAGAACAACCAGACCGCAGATGACCAGTACAAAAGTTAATCCAGAGGACATGATGATCAGCCACTTTAAGATCTCTGAGTGCTTTCCGATTCAATCAAATCGATCGTTACTTGACACCGATCGCAAGAGTGATACGGGCGTTTAATACGTCAAAGGCTATACCATGTGGGTCCAGAAATAGACAGAAAGGAACTGGTAGCGTCACGGAACGTGTTCACTACGTTACTGAAGAGGCAACACCCCCTTTTCGCCGAGAACACACGCGGTGTCTCCTTCTCCCTCGTGCTCCCTCCCTTCTTCAGCGTGGCTCTCCTCGCTTCTCAGGGCACGCGGCTAACGTGGTCCAGTCCAATAACGTATCGTACGTAATAACCCTGTAACCCCTCCGTAGACCATGCAATCGCGAGGAAGTAGGAGTCAAGAGCAAACAACCAAAGGAGTCTTTTAACAGAACACAACAGGCGAAACAGTAATTATGGTTCGGGGTGGAGGGATGGAAGGGAAGAGAAAACAGCATTGCTCGGGGCCCTCATTGGACTCATTAGGACAATTACGGACCCGTTAAACGCTCTCCGGGGTCTTTTGAGGTTTACGTTGGAAACTGGAATATACAGAATTGTTTGGAACTTGGAGATTGTCAGATTGATTTCGCGAAAACCTTGACAAATTAGATCAGGGAGCTGAAGATCCCCTGAAACATTTCAAGCGGTAAAATTGTCCTATGAGGTACAATAATTATTCATAGTCGCTGATTGGTAATTGTGGCAAGTATGTGATATTTAGCTGAATTTTTAATGAAATTTTCAAGTTTGTAGTCAAACAGGATTGTTGTAATGATTCCAGATATCGACACCTGATCTAACTGAAGAGAAGCTTGTGAAGTGGGTTTTATGGAATCGAATTGGTTACAGATGTCTAACGACAGGATTGCAAAGTGAGCTTGCCGACTCGTTAAGAAAGACTTGTCAGGGGTCAGGAGACCGTTTAACCCCGCGAGACATTACCGAATTGACTCGAGCATTTGACCCCTCCTCTTCACCCAGATGCGTCTATATGTAGATATGTGTGTATCTATACATACATGATTCCATACAGGTATTAGTTAGGACTTACCATCATCGATACAAAGGTTAGATCGAGTGGACTGTCTCCCTGTTCATTCATAAAGCCATTTAATTTCTGGCTTGAAAGTCAACAGCCTTTTCCGGTCAATCGACGTCATCATCTTCCCTTTCATAAACCAAATGCATACGACGATAAAACTAAGAAAACAAGCTTTGTTATGGATGCTAAGCCACCCTGAATAACCATAGCTAGTGTATCTTGAATATTCAACACGTTATGATATTCCTCTAATCTTTATATATTTGTGTGGAATTATTAACAATATTATGTTTCTAAATCTATAAGATAGAGTGTATACTAGATAGATACTGGATAGACTTTTAGTATACACTAGAAATATAAAATATATTATGTTCAATATTTAATGTATTATATAATATATACAAACATAAAAAATAATTAGTATAATAAATGAATTTATATTTTTATATGATTCGTAGTTAATCATTTATACTAGTCAATTACAGGTAGGTTGATTGTATAAAGTTTGTATCTGTTAGAAACTCTAAAAAGCTTTTCATTACTTATTGATTCAGAATTGTTTTTAAATTATTTAAAATGTTATGGTATTTTTTGTATTATTATTAATTTGACACATTCAGTTTGTATTAACAATTATTATTATATTGACTGAATATTGTTTATAAATATATTATATAGTTTCATATATGTATTTATTTATAGTAACGTTAACAAAAGTAATTAATAAAGTAATATAATATTTTGTTTAAAACATGAGAATTAAATAAAATATAAAATAAACATTATTACTACAATAAGTGTAAGTATGATATTACATTGATTAAAATTAAAGATAAGACTAAATATTGCAAAATGAAAATATCTATGGAACTTTGGCTATTGCAAGCGTAGTCTGCACAGAAAGAACACATAATGTTGGATCCTGGAAAATATTCCGTTGGTTGGCAGTATCCATCGATTTCTCGAGACGGCACGCAACCTCGCACCGTCACCAGCACGTTCCCATCTGCATCATTAAGAAAACGGTTTCGTAGCCTCAAGGTAGCACTATAACTACAAAAACTAGAAACTAACTTAAATTAGAAGTAATGTGACAATGGTGAGACATACGTTAATTCATCATAAAATGAAGGAATTTCAAGATCAAAGACTGATATTTCTTATTTTCAGTATTAAGTAATGTTTCATGACAAATGCTTGTTAATAACTATTACATGGGAATTTATATTACTTCGATAGAATTTCAACAAAGTAAAACAAGAAATTGAATAATTTTTGAAAAACTGGAATATCTCTTCGTAAGGAACTTAAATTTAAAAAAAAACTTTTCTATCTTATGGCTTTATATTTATACAAGTGACGCACTATGTACTAATGATAACTAAATAAAAGTCCGTCCTTCATAACTTGGAAAATAATTTGTGTTATAATGCAAATCATGATCTATAATTTGTTAACAATTAACACTAGAATTACCAAAATGGTTAAAATGACAGTTTTTTAATTTTTGATGTTTCTAGTTGTAGAAAATATATAGTTACTTTTGACAAAATTAATGTTATCTCCTATTGAGATAAAAATATAACTTATTTATTTTCATAATATTATTTTTATGATTATTAACAACAGTTTAATATATTTTGATACTGGTTTCAGATTTGTAGTTCTAGTGTTAATTTTCTTTTAATTTTTTTAACCTTCTATACTGTTAAAAGCTTCCTATTTTCATGTTTATTTAATATCTAGGTAATAATAGCGTTTAATGTTGAACAATATTCTGAAATTGCAAAGAATAATCAGAAATTTGATATTGTATTATTATAAAAAATTACAAAAATAAAATACCTTATATAAAAATTAATAAATTATTTATGAAAAAGTTAATCAGTCCTTGTAGAAAAATTTAAAAAAGTAAATTTAAAAGTATTATAAAGGATCCCTGTACAGTATTGCAAAATGTACATTAAGTTCAATTACATGTCATTGCTGTTATATTTGCATACATTCGGTTAAAAACGCGATATATGAGACGTTCCATGACATGTGATGTACTCACGTTGAAAGTAAAAGGGAGACACAAAACAGAAAAGATTTGTGTAATCGTTTGCCCTCTCATGACTTTTTTCCAAATTTCACTTATTCTAATAATTAGTAATTAATAAATTGTAAATTAATAATTAATTATTTTAAATTAATAAACAAAAAATAAATATTCTTAATGGTATATAAAAAATTGAAAAGATGCAATTATTTGTATATAGTAAAAAATAAATACCTGAAATTCTTTAAAGTTTGAGAAAATCTATAACTTGACAACTCCAAATTTGTAATTAATTCAAAGATGAAATCAAGATTTCGAAAAAATTTTACGAAAGCAAATGCAATGTATATACTGTAATATATATGTAGATATGATAAGAGTGGTCTTTATGACCGTATTTGTATAGTGCATTTTGTGGGTGTCACTGAAGTCATAAAATTCTTCCCTTTTTCCTGATATCTAATTGAGAATAAGTTTCACGTTACGAAGAAATCAGTCAAATTCATGGAACCTCGTCTCTTTACTGGTGAACTAAGGTAGTATTAATAATAAAATATAAGTATTAAAAAAAGAATTAAAACTTGATTTCTTCGATAGAGTCGTCTTGTGATATTCAACTTTTTCTCTTATCTTTCATACGTATATAATCATACATAACCTAATATTTCAAAAATGTTCATAAAAAAGTTACCAACACGAAGATATTTCTTAACTTTGTTTGAATTCTACCGAGAGATGCTACTTAGTATGTAGAAATGTATATAAATGTAGTTAACGTTAATACAAGCACGTAGAACGCGTACATGCTGCGACACGTGCACGTAATGAAGGTGAGCACACGCAACAGTAAACTACCGCTAGATGGTACTTTATACGCACAATCGATGACGCTTTTGAGACAATGCTGCGACTCGTTTTGTGGACAGAGAACTAAGTCGAAGTACGGTGTTGGAATGTAAGGATCGTTGCATTCTCTTGTGTGTCCGTTGCTTATATCGGTATTACATTCGTAACACCATAAGTTTACTCCTCTTGTGTACTCTGCTAAATAATTCGATTGTTCTCCCTTAGTCTACAGGCTTTTGATAAATAAAATTAAATATCAGCGAGCTTGTTACAATTACATTCTCTATGAGAGGTTATGAAGTCAAGTTGAAAGAAATTTCGATCAACTGTAAGTCATTATTATTTTTATAAACTATATTTTCAAGAACATGTACATATATTTGTATATATTTTTAATCTTTTTTTATTTATAACAGGAAATTAATAAAATAAATATAATAAATTGATATACTTTAGAGTGATTAGAGGAATATTATGATTAGCAATTTATTTATATCAAGATACGTGTTTATTTATAACAAGATCATACTTTATTGGATTTCAAAGTTGCATTAATTTTCTTAATGCTGTCGTTTATTAGCTTACACTAATATTACACTAATATTATATTAATATTAATCTTTAGTATATGTAAATAGAAAATTGAAATATTATTCGATAATGTGACATGTTATAATACTGTATACACTATATATGTATGTATATTCATTTGTTATATTAGATTTGTTCATTTTATCATGATTTATAAAATTGCAACAAATCAAAACAAATATTTCGCTATTTCAATGTTTTGTTTTTTATTTCAGTTAAGTGTCTGCACATAGAAACTGAGAAATTCTCGAAATACAATTATTAATGCATTGTACACGGAACAGATAAAATTTATGTATTTTGAATTCCATCCAAGTAATAAATGTACGAACATTTGAGTTATTTTAATTTGTGTATAGTACACATAGCTGGAATACTACTTTTTTATTAGCGCATAATATACGTTTTCTTACAGACAAATTAACACTGTTCGTTTCAGAAAATAATTATAGCTTTCTTAAAACAAAATCTAGTTAAATTTGTCAAAGATATTTTTTTTAATTGATTCATCTAAAGCTTGTAAGTAATTAACTTAAAAAATATTAATATTTAATACATTTTTTAAATAAATTAATATTTTGTAAAATTACTTACATAGTAAAATTTCTCATAGAAATTTTTGTATTGCAGTATATATTTTTCCACATTGAATAATATTCAAGATATAAAGAAAATACGGTTTTTTATGTATTTTGAGGACTATTTTCGTCTCGTAAATATGAACGGTTGCCGATAAAATATATATGGACCAAATATTTTTTCGGTAAATAAATACTCCGTAAATTTGATGAAAATCTCGTGTAAGTAGGTTTTTGTTTTCTAATTTTTCTTTTATGGCATAAAACAATTTTAACGTTTAAAGTCTTATATCATATAATTGATTTCATTGACTTTTTTTCGAATTATTTTTTTTCTTAGAAGCTATTCTTCAAAATTAATGCGATTAAATATCTGCATTCCAAGCATTCATAGTTCATTTGTCTTTATGAGGGTACTTGAAGGTCATAATACGGTGCTGCGTCGAATTTAGGTTTAAGAACATTCACAGTATAGTGTAGTAAAAATATGTGGCTTTAGTAAAACTATAATGACTTTCAAATTTAATAAATTATGATCTTGACATAAATCCTTTGTTAATTACAATTTAAATTTTCTCTGTAAACTGTCAACTTGTTATATGCTTAATAATTCTATTATATTGGTAAAAATAGTTTATACAGTTTCATAATTTTTTATAATAGACATATATAAATAATATTATCAAATATTGTAAAAAATACTTTATTGAATAATAATTTTTATGTTGTGTTTATAAAAATTAGAGCTGTACCATATGTATAAAATAAGAACTAATAATATAATTAATTATAATAAAAGTAAATAATTATTCTCAGGGCTAAACATTATGTACAGATGTACACAGTAGCTTTGTGTATTAAACTTTATATAAAATTATTTCAGTACTTGTCAATTATATGGTATTAAATTTAATTGTCATTTCATACAACAGTAGAATAAACATAATATTAAAAGTTACAAGTGTTACTTACCCAAATTCATGAGAATGATTATTATCGTCAGACTTACTTGCCCAGCCATGTTGGTTCCACCTTAGAATCTATGTACGTTTCAAATCTTTTCATTACCTGTTATCTTATCTTTGATAATAAAAGTAAGGACTATAGCGCGTCTCTCAAGATGTTAAGTGGGATAGGATACATACATACCATTTCTCTCATACACATAGTAAAATATAAACGTTAAAATTATTTAATAACACTGTTCTACTTGGTTTTGCAATGAATAATTGAAATTAACGCATTATAAATTAATTACATTTTTAAACTGTTTTAGTTACTATATATTTTTTAATTCTCCTCTTTTAGAATTAAAGTGCACAAACATTACATTAACAGTATATGTCAAAAATAAAACGGTAATATTATTTGTACTCTTATAAAAAAAACGTGGAATTAATGTTACAACTAAGCATGAGCTAATATTTACAAATAGTATTAAATGAAAACTGAATAAAACATTATAACAATTTTAACCGTACGCCATCACGTATCATTTCTTTTAACTATCACACATATGTACGTAAATTTCACTTTACTTCGAAATTCATTAAGCCTGAAGTATATATATAGTCTGCTTTTCTTCTCGCAAATATCGTTTCTCTGAAATCTTTTACGAAAGTGTTTATTTTTGTTAACAGGAAACGATATATCTTGCTTAGCAAATCTCTCGAATAAGGTACAATTTTAACGCACAATGTTTAAAATTCTTACTTCTGAAAGTACATTTAGTCGTTTATCGGGAAATTACGGATTAAATTTTCAACGACAAAACATTACGATCGCTCGATATATATTTTATTGCTCGTCACAATTTTCTTGCGACGATATATTCGATCTCGAGAAGCTAATTAGCATTCTTTGATATAAACATTGGCCAAATTTCATATCTGATAAGCATCTTTGTATAATACACATATATAAGTATACAATATATATATTTTTACTTATTTATGCTTATAAGGTCCTGCTTGATAAATGTATTGCAAATGTAATTCGATAAATATAATAACATTTAAATTCTTATAATGAACACGCATTCAGGCAATGATCATTGCATAATCATGCTCGATCACCGTAAAGTTATTAGTCGTTACATAACTCTATAGACACGAACCTTTTTAACTCGGTATACAAAATGTGCTAGCCAATTTATTCTTAAAATTTAGAAAATAGAAATTGAGTAGAAAGCTACATCTTTGTCTGGAATTGATTTCAACTTCAATGACTCTATCCTTTGGATATCGCTCCAATAAAGGAAAAGAATAGTACAGAAATTTTTGTAAATAAAATTTTGGCGACAACAAATAAATATCACAAATCGGTTTAATTTAATTAAACAAACATCTGAAACATCGTTTCGTAGGCTATTGCAAATTTAATATAAAGAATTTAATTTTATTCAAACAAATTTGCGTAAACACTTAATGATCTATAATTTTAAAGCTCTATATCTCAGAGGTTTATGATTCTGCTACAGAAAATGCAAATAACAACAATTATATAAAAAGATAAGAAATATAGAAAAAAGTAGTTTTATAATTGTTATCAGAAATCTGAAAATACCGAACTTTAAATTTTTGTCCTGTATTTTATTTTATGTCGCCAATATCCATTATGTGAGTCATACTTGTGAAACGACGTGGAATATCAATGAACAATGTATATGCATATATGTGTGTGTTTCCAAGTTTTAGAATACACTATGAATTGATTGTGAAATATCTCAGAGGACAATCGCAATCAATTCTATAACTCGATATATAAAGGTTACGCGACGTTGTAGAAAGAACCCAAAACTATAGCTCCAAGAGCGGATATCAAAGTGAAGAAAATTCTTGGTGAAGTTGTGATTGCACTGTTGCAAGCGTCCTCCATGCATAGATCACAGTGTTGCAGGTTGAAGATATCGTTAGAGACTTTTCCTCCTATCGCTTTGCATGGATCGATGGTCTCTGTTTTCGCAGTCTGGCAATTTCTTACTATGATGTCTTGCTTGTTAACTAATAAACATAGTACATTAATTATTAAGTACATACAAAAAGCATTTATTTACATTTCTTTATATATAAATAGTAATTAAAGTGAATTTTAAAACTAACTACAAGAATATGATATAATATTGTTTGTATAATACTCTTATTCTTACTCTCATTGATTCTTTACCTATATTAAAAATTTATTATTGTGGACAATTAATTGTTATGCATTATTTACCCGTAAGAGTCATTTTAGCACATGCCATTGGAGCAGTAGCCTGATAATGTTGGGAATTGTCGATTTCAAAAATTGTAGAAATCGGATTTAAAATCTGATGCCTTTGGACACTTTTTTGCCATTCAATCATGTTGTTAACAGTGCATTCAACAGGTTCAATCTTGTGTGCCTTTGGATCTATATCACAACCGGGATTCGTTAGCGAAGTACACATGTAGCACTTCAAAGTTTCATCTGCAAAAGAAAAACAGTCGTTTGTAATACATACTTCACTGTTACGTTCTTCCCAATGTTTCTTATATGACATTACATCCATCTATGTATTACGTACAGGATATATAGGATACACAGAGTGCACCATATAAAATTTTATAAACATTCTTCTGAATTAATATAAATATCAATTTGTTTCTAATTAAATAGGATAATTTCTTTAGAATTATCTTAAACAAAGACGACCATGTCCATTCTATTATATATAATGATATATTATATTTTTCTTATTCAAATAGTATTAAACTTAATAATATTTATTAATGTATTTTTATTTTGAATAATTGAAAAATATGACGAAGAATATTTTTAATAAATGTAAAGAAAAACTTAAAAAGATGTATGAAACATAAACTAAATATATTCTAGACTGAAAATAATTCTATTAAACGCTTAATATACGCAAATTTTTTTAGTAATAAAACTATTACATTCCTCCTTATGGATTAATATAGAATATTAAACGATGATCATTAGTCCTACAATAACAAAAAATTGTCAAATATTGGAAACAATATTTACGAATAATTTTTAATGTTTTTGGATATGCTATTTTTAATATTTAATAAAATAATTGTTAATACTTAATATTTTCTCAAAAACAATATTCTTTGATTAATTTTGTTTTCCTATTTGAATACCAGAAACTGAACTCGATGTCTGCAGTCATTTTTTAAAGAATATATTTTATGAAAAAATTGTAATTTTATTATCTTTTAATTTTTGATACGTCCTTATTCGATGATGTTTTTAAATATTTACTAACAGTTTTTGAATTAAAAGTTTGTAAATATTAACAACAATATACTAATAATTATTATGTAATTAATAATATATATATAACTTATTAGTCTTATTCCAAATAGTGTATTTGTATAATATTGTTATTTACATCTCTATTTAAATATGATATGTATGCTTTATATTTATTATAATATTTTCAAATATAGTTATTAAAATATTATTTTTGAATAGTATATAGAAGATATGGAAAAATAATATTTTAACGTATTTTTCAACAATCGATTTTTCTGAGAATATGTTTATCTTTCAGTGTTCCTTAAATTTAAAAAATTTTTTAAATCTACATTCATTCGTCGTCTAAAAAAAAAGTGAAATGTTGGAACGCTTCGAGCTTTTTGTTTCATAAACTCCGATCTGCAAACTCACACCCCATTGTGCACGAACGGTCACTTCTTCCATCATTATCTCGCGATTCTTCAACGCTAGTACCACTCAAACGTTGTTAAGTTTGACATTGTAATATTTTTGTATACCTTTTCTAGCATTTGACACGTTCAGGCCACGAAATTCTTAAGTTCTCTGCAAAACATGACTGTTACCCTTTCTTTTAGTATATAATACATTTTATTACCTAATTTTAATAATTAACAAACTTTGCAATATGACAAAATTCACGTATATACAAACATATGAAATTTGATGTTAACAAATCCTTCAAAAATTTTTTTGAAAAGTCGGTAATTTTGATACTATGAGAAATGAATAAAATTATTAATTTTTTCAATTTCAGATATTATCCTTTTTAAAAAATAATTAAAAACTGTTACCTATTTTATAACTCTATGTAAAGTGATACTTAAAAATTCTTAGTATCATAAAAGCGAATTCCAGGATTTTCCCAACTTCGTAAGTTTGTATTTTATGTACAACAGCAACTGTAAAATCGTTAAATGAAATAATAAAATGAAGTGTCAGATAAAAGGGTACGATGAAAGACTGTAACAAGGAATTTTAAAATCCAAGTTGGTAGGAATATGCGAATAAAATAGAGATTCTAAAATTAATCGTGTACGTACGTATAAGGCATTCTTCATTCTCGCTCAGCGCATACCTCGTGCAATAACGACCAGAAAATAGAGAAAGATATAACGGGTCCAAGATAATGTTACGCATGAATCCTCTTGGAAAAATATAGAAGCCATTTTTCTAGATTATAGTCCATTTCAATTCAACGATTGTTTGTTTCCCGGAAGAAGCAAATAATCTATTTCCTCTGGCGCCTGGTAGACGCCCCTACGACGCCGGAACATTTCCGACTGTCGCACATAATTCTAACAAACCGGCGGATCGAGCTTACGTACCGTAAGAATGTTTATAATCGAGCGTACATTTCCAGCGTCCCTTTTTCAAATACGCATGTTCTATGTAGTTATTTGGGTCGCAGTATCGTGGCGCCAGGAGTTGCGACGTTACCCCTCCCTCCTCAAATTGTAACTTGCAGTTCGACAAACCACAGTTAACCTACTAGCCTTCTGGTTTCAAATTGTTTCGAATCGATCGAAAATATCCGTCGACTCGAGGGAAACGATCCAGTTTAGATTATTTCTACGATTATACGTAAATGTGTAAACACGTCTAACAAATTATTCGCAACGTTATCGACTGTTAATAAGTTCACTGGTATAAATATAATTGTAATCGTAATTGTTACAGAGAACCAAATAGTATTGCAGAAATGAAGGATAACCCATGAAAACATAACAGGGAATAATGGAAGAAACATTCGTGACTAATAAAACTGACAAAATGAATGAGACAAATTTGGAACGCCTACTAACGAGCAATTTGTCATACACTATGCCTACATCTACAGCAGAATTTTAGTAAGATTTTGTATAAGATATTATACATATATTATTCGATATATGGGTTATTTATTATTGCATTACAATTTTCATACAGTTAATAATGTTATACAAATATAATAATATTAGCTACAATACCTGTCTAAATGAAATAAGAATACAGTATATTATTTCTAACATTTTAGCATTAATTAGAAAATACAACACGAAATAGTTTGTAAAATTAAAACAGATTTTACAACAGAATTACAACAGATTGTAATTGATATTATTTTATAGAGAATGGGAGACATTTAAGTAATTATATCAAAATCATTAGGAATAACATAACCTAATTTTTAATTAACCTAATTATAGATAATGTTATTAAATGTTAATTGTTTATTAAAAGTTTAATTGTGAACTGTTTTCCAGCGAGGCAATGTGTAATTTCTTACTCAAAGCTTTACTGAAATACCATGGAAACGGCTTGTGTACGGTAGATTGCTCGCCGGTAGGCGTTCCAAATTTGCATTTTTAAAACTTCGATACTAAAAAATAAAGCAAAATCAAATGTTTGGTAGACAAAAAATATCTTTTTCACACTTCTTTATTACTTTTAGTTGGTTAATTTTTAATTACGGAAAATTCTCTATATCTATATATTTTAAAAAAATGCTAATAATAATATATTTCACATTATTAAATCGTACATTAACAAATTAAACCTTATATATTATAAAAACTTTATACTAGTCCAATAATATTTGCCGAAAATTTACTTAAAATTAATTTTCAACATAAATTATTATTATATGTAGTTTATAATAAATAAACATCTTGTTTATAAAATATCCTTCTTTTAGTGATTTACAAAATACCGTGATAAAAAAAATAATAAAATTTTTCTTATAAATTATTATTGCCTCTTAAGTTGATGTATAATACAAGAAATATTCATATGTGAAAAAATATTAAATATAATTTCTGATAATTAATATCGTTGAAAATTTGGAAAGAATAACATAAATTTATAAACCCATGACTGTAAATAGTAACAGGAAGTATGATCAAATTTTTTTATTTTCACTTAATTTTTTATATTTATATTAATATCTGCAATATTGAAAAATATGATTTTTAAATGTAAATACAATTATAATAATATTCGTGCAAACAAGGTAAAAAGAATGATAAGATCTATGTATTACACTACATAGGTAGCATAACAATAATATAATATAAAAATTACCATACATAATTTTTCAAAATATGCGATTCGAGTACGTAAAAAATTAACAAAATATTATGTTGATTATTCACATTCAACTAAATATACCATAAAAATTATCAATTAATCTGGTCATAGTTATTTTGTTTGAATATATATATTTACGTGTGGTTTGACAACTGACAAATTTTACTATATTCACGTTCGTTTGATTTTCAATCGAAATGTATGTTAATAAAAGCCCTCGTTTCTATGTAGAAATATAAATCTAAATCATTTTTATACGATATATTTTGTCATTTTGGTAAGCTTGAGAATTATAAACCACAAAATCCATAACAAACTGTACTGTAAAAATATATTGGCGAAGCTTTGTTCAGCGTACGAATATAACCACAACATGAAACTAAAGAAAGCTGCAGAAGGCGTATCATGTATCACACTAACCGTTGGCGAGAACAATATAAACATACTTGATCACGAACGTTTCTCTGACCACCGACGATCGAATAAAAATTTCATCACTTCGATCGACAAACTTTTCTTTGCATTTTCACTAATAATCCACCATACGAAAGAGGTACGTTTTCCTCAAATTTTTCCCGGCATTCTTTTGTAGAAAATAAATTTTCAGAATAATCACCTGAACGAACCGCCAAGACGAGCGCGAAGCTGACAATTAGCACTGCGATCCTTCGAGCCATTTCGGAAGTCGTCGGTGAGAGGCAAGTTTTCTCCTGAAGTTTACTCTCGGGAAGCAGAATGCAAACTGCGATTCGTGACGGAGGGTGAAGCACTGGCACAAGGAAGAGTTGTCGTCGAGTCGACAGCCTGATCGCGAGTATGAGATTGCGAGGTTCGCCACTCACCACGCCACTCACCGCACTCCTCTCTGTTTTTCGCCACCCCGCCGCAGATCGCATAATCGCGCAAGCCGTGTAATTTTAGCTTTCTTTATCCTTCTAATTCTCTTCCATAGATTGTTCGCCGTAGAACAATGATATTTCAATAATTCCATTTTGAAAAATTATCCAGTTTCCTGTGTAATTTTATTATTATTGTGCAATTTATCGAATTCATGTAATTTTATTGAATGGAACTTTTCATTTGAGGTTATAATTTTTTTAATTCATACTTTTGTTGAGATTCTTAATTTATGTTGAATTTTAAATGGGATTACTTTTATTGTACGTTAATTATTTGTGAATAGGATCGGGATTTATAGTTAATGTTTAATGGGAAATGTGTATAATTAGTTCAATTTGAATTACATTGAATTAAATTGACCGAAATTAATTTTACTTTGGTTTGAACGAATAACACGAAATGAAATATTCATACCACATTTTTAAGAAGAAAATTAGTATTTCATTACATTTGGAATGAATTTTAGTTGTGTAGATAATTACCATTTCTGTATTTTTGCTCTTTTTGATGAATTAGTTAAGTGACCTATTTTAATAGATAGTTGACTCAATTAAAAATTAAATACAAACGAATAGAATAATTAAATATGAAATTTGTTTCATTGCTATACATATTATACTATTCACATTCATATTTAAAAATAAATCATGCTAATAAAATTTGAAACATTTTTGAAAATAATTAAACCAAATTTATTTTAATAATTTTTATGAATGATATAGCAGATTAATATTTATAATATTTTTTAATCGCGTATTTTGCATACAGGTTGAATTTTTAAAAAACACGGTTCTTTTGCCAAATTTTTATTTAATATATTTATTTAAAATAAAATATTTGTTACGAGAATGTAATTTGAGAAATTTAATATTGCTTGATGTAATTTCCATGTAAAATATATTTTTGAACCTATTAGAAATTACTTCGAATAACCAAATTACATAGCTCATTTCTTGTAACTCCTAACAGAAAGCAAAGTACTATATATACATATTCAGTGATATAAACCTAATTCAACATTACTTTCCATTGTAGTTTGTAGTAAAATTGCTAAACTTTTATAATTATTATTACTATTCAATATATTTACTGTAATTTATATTAACTCAAATGTTTTTACAATTACTATTAACATTCAAAATATTTACTGTAATTTATACTGTCACGAATTTTTTTACAATTACTGCTAACGTTAAAAATATTTACAGCAATGTATACTAACGCAAATTTTTTTGCAATTATTATTAACATTCAAAATATTTACTGTAATTTATACTAATGCAAATTTTTTCCAATTACTATTAACATTCAAAATATTTACTGTAATTTATACTAACGTAAATTTTTTTACTATTACTATTAGGATTCAAAATATTTTTTGTAATTTATACCAATGTAAATTTATTACAGTTACTATTAACTTTCAAAACATTTACTGTAATTTATACTAACGCAAATTTTTTTACAATTATTGTTAACATTCAAAACATTTACTGTAATTTATACTAACGCAAATTTTTTAGCAATTACTATTAACATTAAAAATATTTACTATAATTTATACTGACACGAATTTTTTTACAGTTGTAATTAACATTCAAAATATTTATTGTAATTTATACTGATACGAATTTTTTATAATTATTATTGCTATTCAAAATTAAATTTTAACTAAATCATAGTATAACAAATATTTTCTTATTTAAAAGAAAATTTGTTTTGATGCTATAAAGTATTATTACTGTAATACCCACATGTTTGAAGCACTGCGTGCTTACCTGTTGCACCGCTGTTAAAAAATATTGCCTAACATGGTATATGGTACAACTTTCGTGGTTAGTGTGTTTAGTAACACAGGGCGTGTGTTTAATCAACCGTGTCACTTATATGTACCATTGCTCGTATGACACTCATCGGATTAAGACTTTGTGTACAATTCACGTGGAAAATACATTGAGAATCCGTTTGGCAAGAATTCCAAACTACAGTTCCACGTAGTTCACATCAAAGTAACGAACTACTAAGGAAGACCTTATAAATTGTGGCGGTAACGATTGATGAGGAGGGGAAGTGCAGATACATCGAAGAACGTTAATTGTCTATTAGCCTAATTAAAGTTAGCGACGTCCATGACAGAAACAGTACACAGGCCATATTTTTGTGGCATTTAACACGTAAATACGCTTTTTCGAAAACTACTACTTTTTCATTGTTCAAGGATAAAGTAATTATCACTAGAAATAGTAACTAGATATAACCAAGCTGAAAGAAAGTTGTAAAATAACAGTTATATTTTTCTTTAAACGATTTTATTTACGATTAATCATTATAGACGACAAAAATTGTTTTTAATAATCATTTTAAATGGTGGACGTTGGTTTTAATTATAAATAATCCTTATCGTGAATAGGACTTTATTTTGGTCATCATGAATATATTATAATAATTATTTATAATGATTATGAAAATTGACAATAGCCAAATGAACGAGAAAATGTGCCGATAACTAAAATAAAATTCTGATAGTGGTTATTTGTTATCAAAAATTGTTTCCATCATCTATAATTGTTATTCGAAATTGAAAACTTTTAATTCGAAATTAAAAAAGAAGTTAAAAAGAAAGAAATTCTTTTCGTACTAAAAGAATAAAAATTGCATTTTTTTAATTATTACATTTTTTGAGGAATGTTTTTAAATTTTATATACGATTATATCACATATGAATAAAAATCAATATTTTCTTATATAAAAAATTTCTTCGAAATAAAGCTTTTAATTTCAAAATGTGTTCACTGTAAAACTCTGTTTTGGATCACTGATCGAGTGACTGAATCAATTTTTGTAGTTCAAACGATCAAATGTACATACGATGCTCAAATACTAGGAATTTAAGGTGATAAAATTGTTTTGATATCAATAAGAAAAAATATAATTTTTAATTATTTCTTACGAAAATAAGGAAAATTTAATTGTTCAATCCTGTGCAATATTGTATCCACTGTAATATAAACAAATTATTATTTGTTTTATGCAGAAGGAGAAGGGACGACCGATGGAAGTAAGTAGAGAAGTGAGGAAGTAGAATAACTCCATAAAAGCTCGACCCCTTAAGGCTGTTTCACATTGCACCGAAACGAAGTAACGAAGCGTATAATTTTCATTGCGTATGCAATGAACTTCTATTAAAAACATTCCTACACAAACTTCAGTTAATGCAATCATTTCAAAACAGAAGATTTTATGAACTAATACATTATGCAAATAGCTAAAAAACAGGAAAGGAGAAGTATTTAATTCATTGAATAGTAAAAGACCTAAAACCCATAGTGACTTCTAAAAATTATTTTTATACTTACTCTATAATCTTATTAAGACCCATTATCATTCACATAATTAATTAACTAATTGTGAACAAATTTTAAATTTGTAAAAATTTATTAATATTTGGATAAAAAATTTATTAAATATTTGAATAGTTCAGATAATAAATTTATTGATGTTTGAATAATTTAGATAATAAATTTATTAGTATTCGAATAATTTAGATAGTAAATTTATTAATCTTTGAATAATTCAGATAATAAATTTATTAGTATTCGAATAATTTAGATAGTAAATTTATTAATCTTTGAATAATTCAGATAATAAATTGATTAATATTCGAATAATTCAGATAGTAAATTTATTAATCTTTGAATAATTCAGATAATAAATTGATTAATATTTGAATAATTCAGATAATAAATTTATTAATATTTGGAGTACATTAGATCCAAAAATTGTTTTCTCTGCATTCAACTTCGTCAATCTGAATAAAAAATCTTTTGATTAGCTAAAGATTAGCTATATACTTAACACACTCATAGATACTTACGCAATATCTTCATAACCTAAGTTTATATCGAATAAGCAGTTATTTGATCGTAAGCATCACTTATATGACTGAAAGGTAACAAAGCGAAGAATATTTTCAACAGACGAAGTCGTTCAGTCGGGGGGCTTCTGGGTATCGGTTTCGTTAATTCAATTTGAGTTTATCTCTGCAGGTGTTTCTAATTATTCTATGGTATACTTATTGTCTACTCAGTTTTGGCAGAAGTTAAATTCAGTCCGTGACTCAGAGAAATTCATGAACATTCGTGTAGTGCTAATTAGGAGGATAATAGACCCGGGAATATTTAATTTGATATGAAGATAAAAAGATAACAATTTAAGATGGTGAGTCATCTGAATTAATTTAGTACCTTAATTTTTAAAATACTTTCAGATCGGAATTAAAATCGAAGAAATGATTATCGATCAATTTCTTATTTTCTTTAATGCTCCTGAATGAAATAAATAATTTGTAGCTCCACATGTTTAAATAAATTTAAAGTGTTAAAAAAATGCAAATTCTAATTCATTGTAACATTTATTGTACAAATATTATTTAAATAAGCGAAACACAATTTATTTATACGTTGTATTTTATTTATTAAAATATTTAGAACTTACTTAATGGTTAATAAGAATTTAGTATCTAATAAACATGAAAATAAATAAAATTTACAGGACTTAAAACATATACATATTTTAATTATTAAATAATAGTATATAATAATATTAATAGATAATAAATTTATTAGTATTCGAATAATTTAGATAGTAAATTTATTAATCTTTGAATAATTCAGATAATAAATTTATTAGTATTCGAATAATTTAGATAGTAAATTTATTAATCTTTGAATAATTCAGATAATAAATTGATTAATATTCGAATAATTCAGATAGTAAATTTATTAATCTTTGAATAATTCAGATAATAAATTGATTAATATTTGAATAATTCAGATAATAAATTTATTAATATTTGGAGTACATTAGATCCAAAAATTGTTTTCTCTGCATTCAACTTCGTCAATCTGAATAAAAAATCTTTTGATTAGCTAA